GCTGTGACACTAGAAGCTGTGCCACCGAGATTTCAAATACCAGCAGGGTCACCCATGGTGGACAAGTTTCAGCGGAGCTTGCAGACTAAGAAAGGCCTGGAGATCTACTTCCAAAAATCAGCCAGTGAAAACCCTACAAATCACAACAGAACACTGTCCCATACAGTGCTGGAAGATGAGCCCCTGAGGGTGGAAGGCATTCAAATACAGCGACCACAACCAGGGAGCCGCGCAGACCAACGATCGTGACGATGGCGCAGGACCAGGTAACGGTTTGTTCTGTCGTGTGTGGGTCACCACGAGCCGGAGCTGACTCGGTGGTAACTAACAACAGCGACAGCAGCAGCGCAGCCGCGTCCCTCGCCACACTAGAGGGCGTGGCATGCAGAACCACAGCCCCCAAAGACGGCCCCTCCTAATCCCCGGAACGTGTGAAGATGCTTCCTTCCACAGTAGAAGGGACTTTGCAGATGGATGAAGTGAAGGACCTTGAGACAGGAGAGGATCCCGGATGACCCAGGTGGACCCAATGGCATCATCCACTAAAACCCATTGCCTTTGAGGAAGATCCCCAAGACTATGGCCCCCAGATACCCTGCTGACTCTGAACTGAAACCACCCTCGAAGCCCCCTTTTGACTCAAAGGCCTATAAAGCTAACAGTAACACATGCGAGGAACGTGCCTCTTAATTCAGCCACATAGTGGAGACCAAATGGGCAGCTCCTGCACAAAAGCAAGATGAGAAGGCAGGCAGGGACAGGAACTGGACGAATGGATACAGGGAACCTGGGGTCGAAACGGGCAGCGTGATGTCACAGCTTGGGGATTGCAACCAATGTCACAAAGTAATATGTGTACAAAATATTGAATGAGAAATCAACTTGAGCTGTAAATTGTCACCTAAAGCAAAATTTAAAAAAAACAAAACAAAACACTGCTGTTGAGCTGATTCCAACTCACAGCAGCTCCATGTGACAGAGCACAACTGTCCCATAGCGTTTTCTAGGCTGGAATCTTTCTGGAAGCTGTTCGTCAGGCCTTTTCTCCCTTGGAGCCTCTGGGTGGATTCGAACTGCCAACCTTTTGGTTAGTGGTCAAGCATAAACCATTTGCACCACCCAGGGACCTCTAAATCACAAGGGACCTCGTCAGAGGGCGGCAGGAGGGACAGAGTCAGAGGAGGAGATGTGAGGACGGAAGCAGAGAGAGAGACTGGAAGATGCTCTGAAGACGCAGGAAGGGGCCACGGGCCAAGGAACGCGGAGCTCTAGAAGCTGGAAGAGGCTGGGAGATGAGTTTCCCCTGGAGCCTCCGGAAGGAGCCAGCTGACACCCAGATTTCAGCCCCGTGAGACCGACGGCAGTCTGTGACCCCAGGCCTGTGCAGTCAGAAACGTGTGTGGCTTTAAGGCACAGAGCTGTGGGGACCTGAGTCGCAGCCACAAGAGACTACACAGAGGCGCCGAGAGGAAAAAGCCCCACGGTATTCACAGAGAACCAGGGAGGCGGGGAGAAGCACTCACAGCTCCCTACAACACCACCCAGGCCCTGGGATGCCCCTCACTCTGCTGCTTCACCCCGAGGTCTCCCTCCCCCTCCCCACCCAGAGGCAGAGCCGGCCCATTCTTGGCCCAGCTGGGGGCCTGGGGGCTGGAGGGGGGACTCCAGGCTGTACAAACTGCAAAACCTGAGCTCTCCCACCATGGGGCTGGACGAGCAGGCCAAAGACAGAGGGGCGGCGACACCCTCGTTAAAAGGGAGGGAACCACCTCACCCACACCGGGGCAGCTAGAGTCAACGAGGGGGACAGTCACAAGTGGTGACGAGGACCTGGAGAAAGCAGACCCCTGTAGGAGTGTAAGACGGGGCAGCCAGTACACAAACCCGTGTGCTCCTTCCTTAAACACAGGACCACCATGTTGCTGGTCCTGACTCACGGCGACCCCATGTGTGCAGAGCACAACTGCCCCACAGGGTTCTCAAGGCTGGGACACGTCAGGAGCGGGCCACCAGGCCTTTCCTCTGAGGCGCCTCTGGGTGGGTTCGAACCATCACCCTTTTGGTTGGCAGCCAAGCATTGAACTGTTTCCACCCCCAGAGATGAGCCAGCATTCCATCCCTAGGTATACACCCAAGAGAAATGAAAACAAACATCCACACAAAAACTTGTACCCGAATGTTCACAGCAACACAAGTGACAGCAGCCAAACGCAGGAAGAGCCCAGCGTCCATCAACAGTGACAGATAAACATGACGTGGCCCATCCACACGATGGAAGATTCCTCTGCCAGAAAGAGAAACGAAGCTTGATACGCACTACGACATGGAGGAACCTTGAAAGCATGTCACCCGGGGGTAGAAGCCAGACCCAGAAGGCCACCTAGTGCCTGATCCCACCGATATGAAATGTCCAGAACAGGTGAACCCACAGAGACAGGAAGTGGGTTAGTGGTTGCTGGGGGAGGGGAATGGGGGTGACTGCTGATGGGCATGGGGTCTCCTTTTTGGTGGTGAGGATGTTCTGGAACCAGACAGCGATGCCGGCACGACTGTGTGAAGATACTATAATCACCGAACTACGCACTTCAAAAAGGTGACTTGTCTGGTGTGTGACTTCTAGCTCCACAGAGCTGTTACTGGGGCGGCGGGGGGCGGTGTGTTCTAGCACAGCAAGTCCTGGCCCGGCCTGCCCAGGCACCTTACAGGCGGAACCCCAGACGGCACGAATATCATGAATATCATGTCTCCGGCTCAGCGTCGCTGTGTTTTACTGGGGCAGATGTAACGCAGCCACAGAGCAGCACAAGCCCAGCGGTGCGGTTCAAGTCGCGGACAGCACACGCCACGTAAGGACCGCCGCGGCGCCCGGAGAGGCCGCCTCCACTCAGGAACAGGATGGACGCGTGGCCGTGCGCCACGGCCAGAAACTCCTCAACTTCCCCCAGGCCGTCCCTGGGGCCCACAGCCACCGGGGTAATTTCCACCTCCTTGTTAACACCGGGCTAAGGGGGGATTCCAGTAACCTTGGGAGGAAAGCCACATCCCCATTTTAGAGACGAGAAAACTGAGGCCCAGACGGGGCTTGTCCCCCTCAGCGCTGCTGACACGGGGGCAGATCCTTCTCTGGGGTGGGCCGTCCTGTACACTGTACGGTGCTGAGCAGCATCCCCGGCCTCCACGCACTCGATGCCAGTAGCACCTTTCCCATATCATGACAACCACAAAATCTCCAGACATTACCCAGTGTCCCCTGGGGGCACAGTCACGCTGGCTGAGGACCCCTGGGTTAGAAGATAATGGCTGACCGCTATTTGTTGTTTAGCTGCCATCGAGTGGATTCCGGCTCATGGTGACCCCATGTGTGCACAGTAGAACTGTGCTCCATAGGGTTTTCAGTGGCTGATTTTTTGGAAGTAGAGTGCCAGGCCTTTCTTCTGAGGCACCTCTGGGTGGACTTGAACCACCAGCCTCTCGGTTAGCAGCGGAGTGTGTTCACTGTTTGCACCACCCAGGGACTCCTGCCAGGCACCGGGCGGGTATCACTTAAATCCCGAAACTCACGTCCAGCAGACATGAGTATCACCTTCCTTTTGCCAAAGACAGAACGAAGCAGAGACGTTACATCTCTCATTCAACAAGAGGCCGACCGAGGTGGGCCCAGCCCGGTCCATGGTGCAAACCCACCAGTCACTCTGTGGGAGAGAGATGTGGCCGGCTGCTTCTGTAAAGATGACAGCCTTGGAAACCCTGTGGGAAAGTCCTACTCTGTCCCATGGGGTCGCTCTGAGTCAGAATCCACTCAGTGGCAATGGGCTTGGTTTTACGCTCCTTATTCAATTAACAGCTACCTCGCGAACACTTACGGCAACCGCAACACAGTCAGCCCGCCGTGGCCTCGGCTCCCGCCATCTGTTTATTTCAGGGCCTCCCTGTTAGCGGCTGAATTGGGCCCCTCAAAAAGTTAAATTCAAGTCCTAAACCCTGGTAGCTGGGAACGTGACGCTGTTTGGGAAGAGGGTGTCTGCAGACGTTATCAGCTAACACGAGGTCACAGCGGAGTAGGGCGGGTCCTAACCTCTATGGTGTCCTTACAGAAAGAGAAGAGACAGATGCACAGAGGGAGGACGGCCACATGAGGAGGAGACGGAGGGGGAGTGACGCAGCCACAAGCCCAGGAACGCCTGGAGCCACCAGAAGCTGGAGACCAGGAAGGACCCTCCCCCGGAGACTCCGGAGGGAGCGCGGCCCTGCCCACACCTTGATCTCGGACTTCTGCCTCCTGAAGTGAGAGGATGAATTTCTGTGGTTTTAAGCTACGTCGTCTGCGGTACTCTGTCCCAGCAGCCCCAGGACACTAAGACACTCTCCTTTGACAGTTTGGGAGGTCAGCCACCCACGATGTCACCTGCACAGGACAGGCTGGGGGAGGCCCACAGCTACGCAGGACAGTCAGGAGCCAGACAAGGAGGCGGGTGTGGAGGGTTGTCCCAGGACCTCCCCAGCCTTTGTCCAGCCAGTGCCCGCCGTCACGGCAGGGACACAGTCACTGTGGGCTGACCTCCGGCCTTGGGAGGAGACACTGACTTGGTCCAAGTGTCCAGGAGAAAGGGACAGTGCCCAGTGACCTCGGCCCAAGCCACTAACAAATCTCTCTGGTGGGCCGGTCTTTCCCGCCATCTCCTTATCCCCCCTTCAGGCACCTCACAAAGCGATTATTTGTGTCAAAGAGAAACCAGAGAACAGAGCGGGGCGGCGGGAGGCGCTGGCGAAGTCCCTGCCGGCGCTCCTATCAGCTCTCAGAAAGGGAAGGAATTTTTGTTGTTGTTTTTAAGTGGAAGTCATTGTTTTCTGAAAAACTTCCTGATGTGCCCGTCAAAAGTAAACAGTTTTCTTTCGGAAACAAACGCGCAGCTTCCCCAGCTAAGAAAGGCTGGAGGGAGGCCAGGGTGGGCTCCCGGGGAGGTGGCCTCCCTACCGCTGCCCCCCCCAACCCTAGTTACCGTTTCTCTCTGCTCGTCTGAGAACACTTCCAGGGGCTGCACAGTGGGGAGAAGTTCAGACAAGCTTCTCAGAAGTCAGTGCCGGCCCTTTGCTCCCCTACTCTTCCCACGGACAAGACGTCAGGGGCACTTGGAAACTTCTAGAATGACAAAAGGTAAGATGACAAAATGCCCCTGCCTGCAACGCACACACACCCTTTTTTTTCCCCCGGAAATAAAACATAGTTCCTCTAAGCAACCAACCGCTGTGACCCTTCCCTGGCCCAGGCCCAGAAACGCTGGGCCACAATCACCCACTTCCTTCCGGGGGCCCTTCACATCCTGAGGCTCTCCGCCATCATCACGGCACCACACGCGGCCCTGCCGCTCTGCACCTCAGACGCCTGTCCCCGAGGTTCCAGACCCCGTGGCGACCCTGGGTCCCAGCCTGGGGGCCCCGACATTCACCTGGAGGACGCACACAGCCCAGAGTCTGTCCCATGAGAAAAGGCCACCGCCCAAGTCTTCCTTACCTGAATGTTTCTTATTTTGTTTTTTGTTTTTTAAAGAAAGGCTGTATGTAATCAGAACGTCTCTGGACCACAGTTTGGTCTTTTTTTTTTTTTTTTTTAAACATGTTATTGTATTTTTAGTGAAAGTATATGCTTCAAAACAGGCTCCCACTCAACAATTTCTACACGTAACGTTCAGTGACACTGGTGACTTCAGTTTGTGTCACATTCTCATTAGTCCTTTTCCAGTGTCTCACTCCCAGTAACTTTGTCTCACTGGCCCCAAACTTCTCATCTGTACTTTAGGGTGACTGTTGCCCATGTGGTCTCATGTGGGTAAGTTTTCAAAGAGTGCAGGGCCCAAGGGTGAAATTCTTTTTAAGCTAACCCGCTGTTTAGTCCAAAGGTGCTTTCAGGGGATAGTTTCAGCTCAAGGCTTGAAGAGTAGTATCTCAGGGCAAGAGTCTCGGGGGTTCCTCCAGTCTCCACAGGTCCAGTAAGCCGGGATTCTCTGAGCATCTGAAGGTCTGCTCCACGTGTTTTCCCCTGTCTCTTGGGACCCATCTATTGTGAGCCTGACGAGAAGGTTTGGTAGCAGCGGCCCCAGTGACGGTTCTTAAATGCTGAAGTGCCCTCTGTGCTGGAAAGCTGCCGGCCCCTCGCAGGACACGCGGGGAGACAGCTTGGTTTCCCGGCCTCAGCTGTGAGTCCCTGGCTCGCTTTGCTTTTATTTCTGTTTTGCGTTCAGGTTTTGGTTCTCTGAGTGAAGTTCTCTAACTTCCCACCGGATGAAGGCAGTAAGACAGGAAGTCGGGTCTGTTAAGCCAACACATATGAGGTGCGGTTCAGCGGGTTTGTATGTTTTTCTAACCCTCCTGGTGATCATTTTTTAAAAATTGAGATGTTGTGCACAGACCATAAGCACCACCCTCTTAAAGTGTGCCATTCCATCGCGTTGAGTATAGTCACGGAGTTGTGAAAGTGGAAGTAATTTAGCAATCAATTCTAGAATATTCTCATCACCCCAATAAGATTAAATAACAGTGTGTGTCAACAAGGGGTGATCCTGCATCCCTCCCAACCAAGGGACACTGGCAAAGTCTGAGACATCTGTGGGTGTCACGACTGGGACGGGGGTGCTATGGGCACAGAGTAGGGGGAGACCAGGGATGCCGCTCAACACCCTACAATGCACAGGACGCGCCCCATCCCAGAGAATATCCGGCCCCTGGGTCAGCAGTGCTGACGGGGGAGACCCTGAAAGATGATGTAAATTACGGTTCCTTCTCCCCTTCCCCGTGGGTGAATGAATCATGCACAGTTAACGTAGCAATGATAAAAATGCACGTGTATCTTAAGATAGTTTTCAAAGTAAAAACAAATATAAGCTCTGTATCAAAATCAAGACAATAAAAAATTATATATTTTACACAAATCAAATACCAAGCATCTTCTACGTTTGTTTGCCAACTGCTTCCTCCCCCTCCCTGCAAAGTATTTTCGTAAGAGCGCTATGATAATTTTTTTTTTCAGCAACATGTAAACAAAATTGGCACAGTGGCACTAATGAAAATACCTAGGAGGGGGTAGCGGCTGGCAAACCAACACAGGAGGCACGTGCTGACCAAAAAAACCAAACCCGTCGCCGATGAGTCCGTTCCGACTCATAGCAGCCCTACAGGACAGAGTAGAACTGCCCCATATGCTTTCCGAGAGCGGCTGGTGGATTCGAACCGCCAATCTGTTGGTTAGCAGCTGAGCTCTTAACCACTAAGCCACCAGGGCTCCAGGCACGGGCTATTTGTATTTGTGTAAAAATATGGTAAAGCTAAATAAAACAACAGCAGCAAAACATTAAGAGGAAAAAAAGCCTATGGGGAAATGCATGGACTGAAATGGGTCTCCCAATGAATTGTGTCTCCCAAAAATATGTGTCCACGGCTAGGCCATGATTCCCAGTATTATGTGACTGTCTACCATTTGTCATCTGACATGATTCTCCTGTATGTTGTAAATCCTGTCTCTATGATGTTAATGAAGTAGGATTAGAGGCAGTTATGTTAATGAGGAAAGACTCAATCTACAAGATTAGGTTGTGTCTCAAGTCAATCTCTTTTGAGATATAAAAGAGAAAAGCAAGCAGAGGGATGTGGGGACTTCATACCACCAAGAAAGCAGAGCCAGGTCCAAAGGATGCACTCTGCTTCTGGCATTCCTGCTCTGAGAAGCTCCTAGACCTGGGGAAGATTGATGACGAGGACTTTCCTCCAGAGCCGACAGAGAGAGACAGCCTTTCCCTGGAACTGACGCCCAGGATTTGGACTTTTAGCCTCCTAGACTGTGAGAGAATAAACTGTTTTTGAAGCCATCCACGTGTGGTATTTCTGTTACAGCAGCTCTAGGTGACTAACACAGGGACAAAGGGAGAAGCAAGTGAGTTACTGTTGTTGTGTGCCAGCGAGGTGACTCCAACTCAAAGCGACTCTGAGAGACAGAGGAGAGCTGCCCTGTAGGGTTTCCTAGATTGTAATCTTTATAGAGGAAGATCACAGGTCTTCTTCCTGCGGAGCCGTGGGGTGGGTTTGAACCGCCAACCTTTCGCTTAGAGCCGAGCACTTAACCATAGCACCCCCAGGGCTTGTAAAGTGAGATTAAACCCGTATATAAAAAACACCCCAATGGTACCCCTCCCTCAGTTTCACTGTGAGCAGGTGACTGGTTACGATCCTTCTGACAAAGTCACTCCCAAGCTCACGTGGCTAGAAGCTTAAAAGAAAACCCCTCAAACGAGACTTCTCAGTCCTCGGAAAATTAGGGAGGGCACGTCCACACAACCTTAAAAAGAATAAGGCACCGGCCTGACCTGGAAAGACATCCAATGGAAAGACGTACATAGTGTGAAAAAGTAAGTTACAACGCAGCATGCCTTAAAAAGGGGTAAAGCACTGATACACGCCATGATGTGGATGACCCTCGAAAACATGGTGCTCACTGAGCGAAGCTGGGGAGAAAAAGACAAATACTGTGTGATTCCATTTACCTGACATGCCCAGAACAGGCAAACGCACAGAGACAGAAAGTGGACTGGTGGATGCTGGGGCAGGGGCAGGGGAACGGGGGGTCACTGCTTCAGGGGCACTGAGTTTCTGTTTGGGGTGAGGAAACAGTTGTGGAAATGGATAGTGGTGATGACTGTACATCACTGTGAAGGCTAATTAATGCCACTGAAGTGTCCACGTAAAAACACTTGCAATGACAAATGTTATGCTACATATATTTTACCACAGTAAAATAAAAAAAAAAGGACCCAGTAACACTGTTAGTAGGAAGAAAGGCCTGGCAATCAGCTTCTGAATATCGGCCAGTGAATATCCTATGGATCACAACAGTTCAATCTGCAACCAGTCATGGGGATGGTGCTGCGCCGGGCGGGATTTTCTTCCGTTCTGCATAGGGTCCCATGAGTCAGGGGCCGACTCACGGCTGCTAACAACAACGTGGCTATTAGGACCGCTTTTGTTAAATAAAAATAATGTTGTTGTTGGGTGCCGTCGAGTCGATTCCAACTCACAGCGATCCTTTGTGACAGAGTAGAACTGCCCCATAGGGTTTTCTAGGCTGTGATCTTTGCAGGAGCCAATTTTAGGCCCTTCTCCTGTGGAGCTGTTGGGTGGGTTTGAACCGCCAAGCTTTGGTTAGCAGCTGAGCACTTAACCGGAGCCCTACTGGTGCAGTGGTTAAGAGCTTGGCTGCTAACCAAAAGGTCAGCAGGTGGAAACCACCAGCCGCTCCTTAGAAATCCAATGGGGCAGTTCTACTCTGTCCTATAAGGTCACTATGAGTCAGACTTGACTCGATAGCAGTGGGTTTTTGAGCACTTAACCAGGATGTACCGATTTATTATTATCATTAAGTAATAATAATAAATTGGTACATACATGAAAAATTAGGATGAACTCTCACCTTCTCTGAGGTGAAACTAACAGTGAGCTGCCTTTCCAGGTTCCACAGTCCTACCCTCCGTGAATCCTTAAGGTGAACGTGTGTTTACTTTCTGGTTAAAAAGGAGAAACAACCATTTTGATGTAATCATAAGGAGAGAGGAAACAGGCCAGCACCAGAGGGCTCACAGGGGACCGTCCTACAAAAACCGGAGTTGCCTCCCTGAGAGCTTGCGGCCCCGGCCTCAAAGATGCTCTGGTGGCTGCATACCCTCTGCCCCGAGTCTTCCTTGGGCTCTCAGAATGGGGCCGGATCCTCCAAAAGCGCTGGGCAAAGGTTTCCTTCCCGGAACCCACTTCCTTGAGTCAGACTGGCCTTTTCTGGTGAAGTTACTGGACCCTCTACACTCCACAAACACAGGAAGGGAACATTACCTGGGGAATGTCTGAAACTTCCCAGAGTGAAAACCCAATCTCTAAGTCAGCTGTGTGGGGAATTTTTCCCCCGCTTTTTAAAAAAAAATTATTGTGGTGAAACATATACAACAAAGTACATGCCATTTTAACCACTTTTACCGGTACAATTCAGTGACACTAATTACATCCACCATGTGTGCAACCGCTACCACCACCGTGTCAAAATGTTTTCATCATCCTTAACAGAAACTCCTCCCTCGTCTGTCAGTCTGTCAGACCATGGGGGCTTGTGTGTTGCTGTGATGCTGGAAGCTAGGCCACTGGTATGTCAAATACCAGCAGGGTCACCCATGGTGGACAGGTTTTCTGGACTAAGACAGACTAACAAGAAAGGCCTGGTGATCCACTTCTGAAAATCAGCCAGTGAAAACCCTATGGGTCACAACAGGACATTGTCTGATACAGTGCTGGAAGATGAGCCCCCTAGGGTAGAAGGCACTCAGAATACACAATGGCCACAGCCATGGCCTTGAGCAGACCAACAATTGGGAAGATGGCACAGGACCGGGCAAGATTTTGTTCTGTTGTGCATGGGGTCACCATGAGTTGGAGCTGACTCAATGGCTGCTAACAACAAGAACAACAGTTCAAGTGCCCTGTGCCACGTGTGGGCGGTGGTATGGTCCTAGACGGTGCAGCTGCGGAGGGTAAAAGAGAGAAATCCACCTGTGAAAGACAGGAAGCCGGAAAGGATGCAATGGGACAGGTGTCACTGGAGGAGGGTGCCTCCCCTGGAGAAATGAAAAGCACTCAACCAAGTCTGCAGGTGAAGAAGCACAGGGCATTTTCAGGAGAGAGAGGAAGAAGCAGGGAGCCACGGGAGGCAGGGACATACGCGACTTTCTCTTCCTTTGTCTCACAGTGAAACCAGCCCGCCTGGTTCAATGAGTTCTAGGAACAGTGCCCAGTAAGAACAAAACAAAGCAAAATCCATTGCCATCCAGTCGATTCCTACTCATGGCGCCCCCGTGTGTGTCAGAGTAGAACTGTGCTCCACAGGGTTTTCGTGGCTGATTTTTATGAAGTAGATAGCCAGGCCTTCCTTCCGAGGTGCCTCTGGGTGGACCCAAACTCTAACCTTTCGGTTAGCAGCTGAGCATGTTAACTGTTTACACCACCCAGGGACTCCAGATCTTTGATAAACCATCCTTGCTTCCAAGCAGCATTCTGGCTATACTACTTCCAAGACTGATTTGTTTGTTCTTTTGGCAGTCCATGGTATATTCAATATTCTTCACCAATGTCATAACTCAAAGGCATCAATTCTTCTTTGGTCTTCCCCATTCACTGTCCAGCTTTCACATGTATATGAGGTGATTGAAAACATCATGGCTTGGGTCAGGCGCACCTTAGTTGGGGTTAAAACCTTGGCTTCCAGCTGTGCAGAGAGCTGGGCCTCAGCCAGGGGCTCCTCCTACCCCTGCCACTTCCCCTTGTCTTTCACAGATAGTACCTCCCCAAATCTCTTAACTTCTAAAACAAACATGTGGCTTCCCCTATAGTAAACAAAGAGCTGGCCTGAAAAGAAAGTGAGTCCAAGAGAACAGAGGAGGAAAGTCAGTTTTATTTTACAGGTCCAAGCCCAGGTTACCAAGACACACAGGAAAAATATTACTCATGAGGGGAAACCCCAGTCCTTAAGACATGGATTCTGGCGGGGGGTGGGGGAGTGGTGCTTGGGGACTGCAGGGCTCTGGAGTTCCATGTCCTGTTCTGATGTCTGCCAGGGGTGTGACTTCTGGCAGTCTGAGTCCCAGCTGTCCCATCTGTAAAATGAGCTAATAAGAACCTCTACAACTTTATGTTAAGGAGTCCTGGTGGCGCAATGGGCTTGCCTGTGAACTGAAAGATCCAGAGTTTGAACCCACTCAGCGACTCCGTGTTAGAAGGACCTGGTGGTCTGCTCCTGGAACGATTTTAAAACCAACAACAAAAACCTGTTGCTGTAGAATTGCCCCGCCCCACAGGGTTTCCAGGGAGCGGCTGGTGGATTGGAACTGCTAACCTTTGGGTTAGCAGCCGAGCTCTTACCCACTGTGCCACCAGGGCTCTCTTGTAATGATGATAGCCTAGGAAATCCCTACTCTATCTCACGGATCACTATGAGTTGAAAATCTCCTCGATGACACCCAAAAAGAAGGACAACTTTCTGTTGCCCAGTAGGCAGAGGCTGAAACGAGGAGAGAAGGTGGCCAGGGCCTGAGGCTGGCTCTGCCATGCATACAAGAAGCAAGCACAAAACCAGAATGCACACCGTAAAATATGCAAAATACTCAAAATTTATCCAACCTCTCACTTTGAATGTGTACTGTTTTGTCAATTAAATCCCTCTAAAACTGTAATAATGGTGACAAAGGTGAAGGAAAAACAACAGCATGTTAGAATCTCACCCCAAAGCTGACGGTGGTTTTCTCTGGATGGTAGACTCTGTATTTTCCACCCCCCCCCCACCTCCTTAATGGCTATTTATACATATATGGCCATTTAAAACCAATTCCAGCACCCAGGACGAGTGCTTACACCACCCATCAGAAGTGACCATTATCACTCGGCCCTTCTCCTATCCAGCCCCTCTCCCCCGCGTGCCCAGGGCCACCGTGGGGGCCGGGAACCAGGAAGCCGCTTTCAAAGGCCGGACTCCGGCGGGAGTTTGCGGTGGACTCCAACTCCTGCGGACTTTTAAGCCAATTCAGGAGGCTCAGGATCGGGGCTGACCCCAGAGTGACACTTCTGACGTCGAACTCGACGGAGCGCCGGACACGGATCTCTCCCGCCGCCCGCGGTCTCCTTTCTGACGGACCGAACCCCGCCGCCCGAGTTCGCCCCTCTGACGGACCGAACCCCGCCGCCCGCGCTCGCCTCTCTGACGGATCGAACCCCGCCGCCCGAGTTCGCCTCTCTGACGGATCGAACCTCGCCGCCCGAGTTCGCCCCTCTGACTGATTGAACTTCGCCGCACGCGCTCGCCCCTCTGACAGATCCAGCCCTCGCGCCATCTGAGCTCGCCCCTCTGTCGGCTCGGCCCCCGCCGCCAGAGTTTTCCTCTCTGATGGGTCGGCCCCCGCCGCCCGAGTTCGCCTTTGTGACAGACTCGGCCCCCCGCCGCCCGCAGTGGACCCGCCGACAGGACTCACCTGGTAGTTTCGCCTCGCGCTGCCGCCACTCGGCTCACTCGAACCTCAAGGAGTGACACGCCCCGCGGAAGGACACGGCGGAGCACAAGCCCCGCCCCGACCCCACCCGCAGGTGCCGGATCTACTTCCCTTAAAGGGCCAGACGTCCCCAGGAAGCTAGGGGCCGCGGACCCGGCCAGGCTCTCCTGAGGTTCCGTCCGCGCAGAGGTGAAAGGGGACCTTGGCCTGGCAAGGGCGCGTGGGAGGCATAGATCCCGGAGAGCAAGCCTGACGTCTGGACCCGCCCCCCGGCGCCGGCCGGCCACAGCGCTCTCCGTTGCCCAGCAACCGCCAGTCTGCCCCTGACACCATTGGCTAGCGCCGGTGGTCCCAGTGACAGACCTGTGGGGCGGGGCCTAAAGCAGGGGCCGCCTGTAGGGGGAGCCTGCGTGTGCGTGAGGCGGAGCCTCTCGGTGCGTGTCGGCTGTGGGCGGGGCCTGGCTGCAGGGCCGGCGCGGTCAGTTGCCGGGCGGAGGCGGGGCCGTCCGTTGGACCTGGGGGCGTGGCTAGGCCCTATCTTGGGCCTGGCGGTGGGCGGGTGCGGGGCACGGCCCGGCCCGGCGGGCACCGTTGGTTGGTGCGCGGCAGAGGGGCGTGGCGCGGGAGGCGCCGTTGGTTGGCCGGCGGGCGGGCGGGGGCGGGCCATGGCCCTGTTGCTGTGCCTGGGCATGACGGCGGCGTTGGCCCGCGGCTGCCTGCACTGCCACAGCAACTTCTCGGATAAGTTCTCCTTTTACCGCCACCACGTGAACCTCAAGTCCTGGTGGGTCGGCGACATCCCCGTGTCGGGCGCGCTGCTCACAGACTGGAGCCAGGACACGATGAAGGAGCTGCACCTGGCCATTCCCGCGGAGATCAGTGAGTGCGGACCGGCCCTGGCCGGACCCGACCTCCGGACCCCGACCCCGAAACCCTGGCCCCCAGACCACCCGCCCACCGCCGCCTCCTCCCGCCCCCAGCCGAGGAGAAGCTGGACCAGGTGGCCAACGCCGTGTATCAGAGGATGGATCAGCTGTACCAGGGGAAGATGTACTTCCCGGGTAAGGGGAAACCGAGGCAGGACCCAGCCGGCGGGCCCCCCGCCCCGCCCCACAGCCTGAGACCCATGTCCCCTCTCTGCCTCACCCACCAGGGTACTTCCCCAATGAGCTGCGCGCCATCTTCCGGGACCAGGTGCACCTCATCCAGAACGCCATCATCGAGAGTGAGCAGGAAGGGGCGCAGGGGTGGAGGGGTGCCCAGGGCCTGGGCGGGTGTGCTGCCCAGGGCCGTGGGGGGTGCAAGCATGCTGCAAGGTCCTCCAGGGCCGGGCTCCTTCACAGCTGGTGACCCGGGAACAGCCCCGGGTGGTCAGGACAGCCGCAGCGGGGACAGCAGGCAGGCTCCCCTCTGCATCACGTAGTTGCCAACACAACGTTTGAACAATGCATGCCACCACCTCCCTCCCTCCCTGGTCTCTGGAGGACTGTTGAAGCCCACGCCGGGGGCACCAGGACCCGTTCCCAGTGGGGGTCGGGCACCCACACCCGATCCAGGTGCTCCTGCCCCAGCCGGTGGGCGGCCTGGGCCCGCGGGGGGCCGGTGGGGACGCGCTGCCCTCTTGTCCCCCCACAGGCCGCATCGACTGTCAGCGACACTGCGGTAAGTGGCGCCCCGCGCAGGCGAGGCGGTGGGGGCCGCCGTCACGGTCCAAGGGGAGCTTGCCGCCCGTCTGTGTTGCAGGCATCTTCCGGTACGAGACCATCTCCTGCGCCAACTGCACCAGCTCCCACGTGGTCTGCTTCGGCTACAACTGCGAGTAGGGCCTGAGGGCCCGGGGGCCGGGGGTCCTCCCGGGGGGAGGAGGGGGCCTCCCGTTCACCTTGCGCCCCTCCTCCCGCAGGTCGTCGGCGCAGTGGGAGCGAGCAGTGCAAGGCCTCCTCGGGTACATGTGAGTGGGGTCCTGGGGTGGCCCCCGGGCTCAGGGAGGGGATGCCAAGCCAGGCCACGTGTCCCTGACCCGATCCCCACTGTCGTTGTAGAAGTAGGTGGCACAAGTAAGTCCCTCGTTCCTCAAATGGGACATCCTATCAGAGGCAGGGGGGTGTGCGTGGACACGCTTCCATGCGGGGTGAGTATGCCTGGCGCACAGTCCCACGGAGGAGCTCCAGGAGGCTGGACCTTGCCCTAGTCCCCCCTCCCTCCATGGTCTGCCCGCCCCACGCCCACAGCTCCCCACAACAGCTGTGCGCCCCATGGGCCACAGGCACAGCTTTGGCCTCGAGCTTGGGGTCTTAACTGGGCCCTTGTACCTTTCAGACTGGACACCAACATGAGGTAAGGCTGTGGGCCGTCCTCGCTAAAGCCCTGGCCTTCCGGGGGGGAGGGGTCAGACGGGGGGGTGGGTGCAGTGGCAGGGGTCCTCCGGGGCCCGGGTGGGCAGGGTGGACCCAGCCAGGAGGTGTTCTCTGCACATGGACATGTCTGGACGCCATGTGACCATTCCATGAACCAACCTCGAGCTCCTCTTCCTCCCCGCCTGCCCGGCTGGCCGCAAAGAACCACCCCGGCCTTGTGAGTGACCCAACTCAAAACCCAATAGTTCGTCACAAGCCCCACTAGGCCTTTCTGCACCCCAGGCCATGTGGGTGTTGGGGACCGAGGAAGGAGAAGCACACAGGCCGACAGCCGGTGTTCCCCGCAGCCTGATCTCACCAAGCTTCACATGCCTGGAGCCGCCACACCTGGCCAACCTGACTCTGGAAAACGCCTCCGAGTGCCTGACCCACCACTGACCGACCGCCGGACCGCCCCCACGACAGGGCTGGCCCAGCCGACCCTCCTGGAGCAGGCTTGCTGCTGCCTCGGGGTCCCCCACACAGCCCGAACCCGCGGGCGGGAGGAGGGCCGTGAGATGGCTTTTGTACATAGATAGCACTGCGGGCTCCCAGCGCTTTGCTGGGTCATTAAACTGACATTTCTCCTTGAGGCGTTGTCCTAGGCACTCAAGGGCTGGTCCGCGGGCACAGCAACGGCCCAGTCCCAAAGGTGGCTGACAGACCCAGGGGCCAAATGTCAAAACCCATCTGAGTGTCCTGGGGCCGGCCGTGACAAAGTACCACAAGCCGGGTGGCTTCAAACAACAGCCATCTACTGTCTCACAGCTCCAGGGGCCAAGTTCATGGCGTCGGGGCCGCGCTCCTTCAGGGGCTCCAGGGGAGGTCCTTCCTTGCCTCTCCCAGCTTCTGGTGGCCCCAGGCATTTTTGGCTTGAGGCTGTCCCCCCTCACCAAGCACGTATTCTGCCAGGGGCTCCAGTGAGTGGGTGCAGGGGCTCCCGAACAGAAGGCCCCTTCCACGCACAGCAAAGGGATTCTCTGGATTACTAACGAGACTGCGTTTTGTTAGAATTGGGGCCAGCAAGGCTTTTCACGTTCTGGTGTGTGGGTCACTTCAATCTAAGCCACGGCAAACAAGCACAGGGGCCAATGTCTCACGCATCCTCTCCTTCTGACAACGCTTGTGGCACGGTTACATATGAAACAGGGTGGCTAACGGCATGAGGCAGGGCTGAGAGTTTTACAGCAGATCTGGAACACAGGTAACAGACTTGGGGTCATGTCCAGAGGGGGCCATCTGTGCACGTCCACGCGGCCGCAGGTCCCAGCAGCACCCTTGATTCAGAGGATGGGTAACAGACATGGGGTCGCGTCCAGAGGGGGCCATCTGTACACATCCATGCAGCTGCAGGTCACAGCGGCACCCTTGATTCAGAGTATGGGTAAGAGACATGGGGTCGCGTCCACAGAGGGGGCCATCTGTACACGTCCACGCGGCCGCAGGTCACAGCGACACTCTGAGCTCATCCTTGTCCAGTCTCACCCCGTTTGTGCTCACCCGGGCCTGTGCCCCCGTCTACTCGCGGGCACCAGGGCTACTCCAGTACTCGGTGAGGTATCGCCGACAGGGCACCGAGGACTCCGACGCCCACCGCTCTTACAGGAAAGGTCCCTGGGTGGCACAGATGGTTTGTGCTCCACTACTAACCTAAAGGTTGGTGGTTCAAATCTACCCAGCCGTGCTGTGAAAGAAAGGTCTGGCGCTCTGCTTTTGTAAAAATGACAGCCAAGAAAACTCCATAGAGCACAGTTCTACTCTGCACACGTCAGGTCTCCAACAGTCAGAACCCACCTGATGGCAATGTGTTTGGTTGGGGTTATTTGGTTCATATGGGAAAGTTTCGATTTCGGTAACAAACTGAACACGACATTTGAAAAGACGTACGGAAGCCTCTGAGTCACGTTCCAGGTGAAGCGTCGGAGCTGCCTGCAGCATGAGGGACAGCGTGGTGGGCACAGCTACGAGCGTGCTGTGTCTCTCTGGTCGGCCAGAGTCACCGTGGAGCAAGCTGGCTGGCGGTCTGGCATCCTCGCGTCAGGCATTCCCATTTTTCCACGTGGAATCACGGGAGATGGACTCCTGGTTGGCATTTTCAAGAAGGGGTGGCTGAAGGGAACACCAGCCCACGGGGTGCCCGGCGCCCTCCAGGACCGCCTACCCATCCCGACACCCCTGGAAGCAGACGTAACCAGGGGCCGCACTGGAGTCAGCACATCTTGCTCTCCCGCTCAGGCACCCGCTGGCCTATCTGCACTCTGTGATCCATCAGACTGAGGCATCCCTCCTGCTGATGCGGCATGACCTCTCATTTAGCAAAACCAGCTAAGGCGGCCGAGGCAGAAACCACCAGCGCAGGGCTCCCTCGGCTGCCCTCTGTCCCTGCTCTCTGCCTCCCTGCCTTGTGCCGGTGCTCGGAGCCCCGGGAGCCCAGGTGGAGCACGGCAACCACGGCCACCCCCACGGTCCGAGGCGGCGCACCCAGGGGAACAGCTGCAGAAGGGATGACCGCTGGCAGCCGTTTCGACTTCAGCAATCCTGAGCCCAGGGCCTGAGGGACCCTGGCGGTCCCATTTTGGGGGGCAGCTGTCCTCGAGGACATGGGCGGGCCCCAAGGGACAGGGCGAACCCCAGACGAGGACACACAGTGGACACACCGCTCAGGCAGAAGCCCTGAGGTGTAAACGTCTGTTTTGCGATTTTATTGGATCATCTTGACACAAAATCATTCCAGCAGCGTGATATGTCTCTCTCCTGTATACGGGAATGTCGATAGCAAATAAACTCTTATGTAACACATCATACAATTTCAAACTTCTAGAATCACTGCACAGGATTCTGTAATAGATTACTCTACATGCTAAAGTGACAGTTTTCATCGGACACATTAAACGTCATCGAGGACCACCATCTCTGAGGGAAGCTCTGTCACACAAGAGCCGGCCAGCACGGAGGGCCCCAGCGCCCAGCCCGGCGCCGCGCCCAGCCCAAGGCACCTCTCGCCCCGGAGGCGGCGTGCCGGGGTCCGGCTGCTGAGCAGGCCACGAGGGTGCCAGCAGGAGGTGCGTCCCTCTCCCTCACAGGCCTCCTACACCCCAGGGCCCCTCCTGACAGCTGCAGGTACAACTAAAGACACATCTTACAGTATGGACAGTGATGAGGCGGGGGGGACCCCGCAACAAAGCAAGACACACTGAACAGAAAGAACAACAAAGGCCCCATCGGTCTGTCAGCGATTCTGACCACCATGTTCCGCCACCACATGGGCTCGCGCCCCGCCTGCAGGCGGCAGCCCCCTACCCGTCTCAGCACTCCTGCACTTCTCCGTGGCCGCAGGGCCCTCGGCTGGCGGCAGGCGGGCACCGGGAATGCAGACAGGGACGACGGCCCACAGCACTGTCCTCCCAGTGCAGCGCTGTGGGGACAGAAGCTCATCTGCAGCTGAGAGGGACAGAGCGGCGATGTCCGCCGTGGTGACCAGCCCAGCCTGGCCTTCACTGCCGCAGACACCACCCGTCAGGGTGTCTCGGGGGTCTTAGGACTTGGGTGGTTTTACGGAAGCTGCTGGCAAGAGCTCACCCGGAGGAGGTGAGAGGACACAGGGAGGGGTGGGCTGCGTCAGCCCCACCCTGCCTGCTGAGGGAGCAGGGACCACCTACCCTCCCCCTGGTGCCCGGGGCGGCAGTCCCCTCCGAGTCGGCCATGGCACAGAAGGGACACCGCAACAGGCCGGGAGCCGCTGGCTGCAGGAACCCCCAGACCAGTCAGGGCTTCTTGCCAGAGTCGAAAAGGTAATAAAATAAACCAACACAACGTATAAACAGGACGTCCGCACAGAGACGGCAGAGGACTTAAATTAAACGCACGGCCAGACACAGCACGTGCAGACACAGGCGAGGTGGAGCATGTCCATGGTGCCCATGCGGGCCCCCGTGGTGGTGGCCGCGGCAGCACTCAGCACTGGGCCAGCGTCACCTTCATCTCATCCAGCAGATTGCCCAGGAGGGTGGGGTCGCTGCACTTGCCATCCACTGACACGGAGTTCTCGCCCTGAAAAGGGACAGGCCGTTGGCGTTACAAAGAGCGATGCAGACTCAGGGCCTCTTGACTAGATCGGCTGTACTTTTAACATTTCAGAAGACTTCTCTGCGTATTGGTGCTTTGGCAATCACCATAAAAAGGGGGTTCTAATAGGACGGAGTGAGCACACACTGCCTGCCTCTCCTGAGCAGAGCCCTGAGACCCAGTGGGATGCACAGAGCCGCCATGCGGACACTGGAAAGTCAGCAGTGGCAGGCAGTCTGGGGATGGAGACCAGGATTTGAAGAACCCCGAAGCTGGCGAAGAGCTTGCCTTGTTCTCTCCTCCAGCCCCTCTGCCGCTGGGCCCCAGATGCAGGACTTGGCAGAGCCTGGAGAGAGCAACCCCACGAAGTTGTCTAGGGACCCCAGGTTCGCCCTGAGCTGGACACGTGAGGGTCTCACCCTGAGGAGCAACCGAAGACTATGGACAGCTGAATGAACAAACCACCACTGGGGACACCCACACAAAGGCTGGAGCCTGAACTGACACTGGAGCCGCAGTCCGAGAAGCCAGGCTGGAATGTGCAGCCTGAACCTGTCGATACTGTCCGTAGGATTTAAACAAAGCCCAGACTCTCACCACATTCAAAACATCCAGGATACAGTCCAAAATCGCTCAACATACTGAGAGGGGGGCCAAGATGGCGGAGTAGTCAGACGTTTCCAGGGGACCCTCTTACAACAAAGACTCGAAAAAACCAGTGAATCAATTATATGTGACAATCTAGGAGCCCTGAACATCTAAGGCAAAGTTGAGGAACCGGACTGAGTGGTAGGGGGAGGAAGAGACAGCTTGGAAGCAGCAAGGAGTCGCCAGACCTGACCCAGCGAGAGCCTGCTGATCCCTTCAGACCTGATTAGCTGGGGGTGAGCGGTGAGGGAGACAAGCAGCTGTGCTCGGGAGGTGCCTCTTCCGCACCAGGAGAGACCCAGCCCCAGGGAGTCTACACAGCCACCCAGAACCAGTGAGAAGCAGCCCTCGATCCGGTGAAAGATAAGTAATTGCAGTATGGTCTGCTGCACGGATCAAAAACACCCCCCTCAGGGAAAAACCTCTCCCATTTACCTCCCCACTCCCTGCTCTGCACTGGGTCCCAGACCAGCTTCAGCAACTGCTGAGTCCCCTGGGCCGGAATGCCCTGAGCCATTCTCCTGGCCTTGGAGAGTGAACAAATTAACAAACAGGAAAAACTAGACTGCCGGATCCCCTAAGCCAGGAACCCAGGGTAGGCACAGCTCCTTGGCCTAGGCACAGGCATAAGGGATCCATGGACTCTGAGTGCCTTTCCCCGGAATAGACTTGTGTGGGCCCATCTCAACAGCGTAGGCCCTCATTACCGCAGTACAGCAGGGTATATACCTGAAGTCTAACTTCAACTGTTTCAGCTGTGAAATGGCAGGTTCGTGACATTTAACACTGCTCTGCCCATTAAGCAGGGTCTTCACCTACCCACATCAGGGGCCTGAGGACTGGTGGTTCCACCCATGCCACCTAGCCACCTGCAATAGGGGCCCTTACAGCCAACAGCATTAGGTGCTCATAGCACAACTGTAAAACACACCCACCTAGGTGCTCTAGGGAACAGGGACACGCCTTCCTCCAGGACACTCAGGGGTGGCTGTCAGCCCCATGCGTTACTCAGAGTGTGTCCCCCTGCTGCAGCCAAATGCCTGTGTCTACACCAATCACCCATGCCTGTCTAGGACTGTGAGAGCCTACACCACGCACTTGGTGGCTATCTACCTGGGCACCTAAGCTGAATCTATACAGGAGGAGTGGGCAGACTCCTGAGCTCACATACCTAGTAACAGACCTTACCACTGAGTGACAAGACATTAGAGCTTCAAAGGTGCCAATAATCAAACTAGCTCATATGAGCAGCCTATTTGGGCATATCGAAACAAAACAAGACACTAAGACACAGTAAGCAAACACAAAATAAATATAACAACTTATTGATGGCTCAAAAACAATAGTCAATATCAAATCACATAAAGAGGCAATCCACGATGGCTTCAGCTAGCTCCCAAAATAAAGAATCTAGGAATTTTCCAGAAGAGGAAAATTTCCTGGAATTACTGGAGGCAGAATACAAAAGATTAAAATACAGAACTCTTCAGGAAATTAACCAAAACTCAGAACATGCAATAAAGGAAATTAAAAAGATTAGAGAAAAGCATAATGACAAATTTAACAGGCTGCAAGAATCCAGAGACAGCAATCAGAAATTCAGAAGATTAACAAATTTCAGAATTAGACAACTCAATAGAAAGTCATAGGAGCAGAACTGAGGCAATGGAAGTCAGAATTAAGTCAGACTGGAGATAAAGCACTTGACACCAACTTATTCGAGGAAAAATCAGATAAAAGGATTAAAAGAAATGAAGGAACTAAGAATTATGTAGGACTCCATCAAGAGGAATAACCCACGAGTGATCGAGTGATCGGAATACCAGAACGGGGGCAGATAACAGAAAATACATAGAGAATTGTTGAAGATTTGTTGGCAGGAAACTTCCCTGATATTGTGAAAGATGACAAGATATCTATCCAA